ATCATCATCATCATCATCATCATCATCATCATCATCATCATGCGCCATCTACTTAGAAAACAAAAAAAGTGACTGCAACTGCTGGGGAGTTTGGAGTGTGAGCTTGTCAACTGTCAGGGTCAGAATGTCATACTCACCATCATCGTACTCACCGTCGCCTTCAATATGCTATCATCGCTACTGTCGTCGTGACCCTCAACTTCATCATGAGCATCATCATCGTCAGCAACATCATCATGGGCAACAAATGGTAGCAACGTATTTGCGTGCCAGTGCTCATCAACATCGCGTGTCCGTGTGACCGTGGATTGACTGTTCCAGTGAAACTTCATCATCATCATCATGGCAACTTCATATGCGCGTGTACGCTGATGGAGGTGAGTGTGCCCGGGTGAACGGGGAAGTGAGTGTGCCCGGGTGCCTGGGTGCCCGGCGTCTCGTGAGAAGACCGGTCTCAATGTTCCAACCAACAGCATTTGTGTTGATCGTTGATGGTGGGTTTTCATGAAGTCGCTTAGGCTTTCGACTGTGGGACGGATGTCCAGTTTTTTGGAGTTTCCGACCAAATCCGCCGCCTCAAACTGGATATGAAAAAATGCAACCAATGCATGGTTTCTTTTGGTTTCTCCCAGTTGCGTTGTCTCGTGAGCAGATGTTATCTGTGAGGATGTTCTTCATGATTTGCTGATTTGTTCGTGGTTTAGATGTTTTGCGCACCGCGTCAAGGACAATCCAAACAGAGTTATCACAATATATTTTAAACATTGGTTGCTATGTTTTTAATCAATGAACTGTTCGAACTGTTAGCATTTTCTAGTGAGAGACACTTCTCGGGGTGTAGCAGGGAATTAGAATTAAGTCTGAACTTTACTATTCAGCAACAGATGGCTGGTGACAGGAAAATATCAGAAAATAGTTCCGATTCTTTTTTGGTCGCTTCAACCACAAGAAGACGAACGCTGTGCCCAGGAAGACGAACGCGACCGCGGCTTGAGGCGACCCTTTTCGGTCAATGAGCGTGAATCGTGGTGGAAGGTGTAGGAATGGCCGGGGGAGCCATCATTGATGGAGAACCAATGGGCGTGTCTCATTTTTTGAGCAACTCTTTTCTTGCTGCCTCCCTTGCAGCAAGTTTCTTTGGAGTTCAAGCCGCGCAGCCTTCACAGATGCAGATTTGGTCCACCTGGCTCAGGAGACAGTCTCTCGTATCCTCCCAGGTTTTGAAGTCCACATGGCGGGTCATGGCACTACCCGACCGACTGACCCAAGAGATGGAACAGAGTGCGAAGGATAGACTAAGGAGGTCAAGCTACCAGGGTTTAGGTCTCCAAGTGTTGAACAACACACATTAGTTGGTTTAGGATCACTGAACCCCAAACACATGCAGTAGAACAACAAGTCTTGTGGGTTTAGGTCAACAGCCATATGTCCACCCACAAGTTCTTCCAACGAAAGGCGTTTGGAACAGGCGAGTTCTTCAGAACACGAACCCAGTGTCGATGACCAATTGCAGCTACGAACCCTAGCAGGGTAGGTCGATGGGGCATCTTAGAGTTAGTTTTGGGCTTCACAACAGATGGACCGGAGTGCCAGTGCAAAAACTAAAGCACACTGAAAACCAAAGCCTAACCTATGCTCACCGTGATTCGTGCAACAAACTCCTTTGTTCATGCAACAAGTGACACGTGTGGGAAGAGTGGGAACCTCTGGATACGACTCGACTTGCACTTTCCTGCCACCATGTGAGGTTGCCAAACGACATTTTTGACACTTGGGGTATTTAGGACATGCCGTGGTTGCCTTTAGTTTCACCCAAGCTATTAGTAGCAAGGGCAGCGCTACTAGTAACAAGGGCATCGCTACTAGTAACAAGAAGCTACTATTATTTTGGAAATATATTAATTATATACAGTGGCTACTAGTAGCAATGCCCTTGTTACTAGTAGCTTCTTGCTACTAGTAGTAAGGCCAGGAGCTACGTTCGTAGCGTCCTTGTTCCTGGTAGCGATCTAGGCTGTTTTTTTTGAGACATGCCGTGGTCGCCTTTCCCTGGCCTTTGAATCATTCCGCCTCGATTGATTAGACATTCCGCCGGGCGCTGCAGCCAGCGCTGGCTGCTGCGCCAAGTGACGAGCTGTTTGGAGAAGCAATGAGGCCCCAGTCGTGGCGGGTTTGGAACGTGGGGGGCAGTGAGTTGATCAACCAAGAGGTGCCAAAATTTACAAGCAAAACAGGATGTTGGAATCGTCTTTTTTAAAGCCATTGCAAAACAGACGTTGTTGGGTGTCATGTTGTTGGGTGGTCGCATTGAGCCTCATCGTTCTTCCTTCACAGGCTCAGAAGCTTTGTGTCGCCGGCAGTCGGCCGCTTCGACAAACACGGACGACCTGGGCGGCGAGACTTCCGTTTTTGGAAGTCGGCCTTGCATTTTCAGATGGCGCTAGAAGCATCGAAACAGCCTTACTAGATTATAATCATATGTATACTATATTATATAGCTGGTATTCCATACTAGCAGACAGACAAGCGCAGACAAGAGGATGCTCGCCTCAAATGATCATGGAAGCTGAACCTGACAACGCCCATTCTTTAAGCCTAGCTTTGATACTGCATAATAGTCTATAGTGCTATAATGTGTGTGCATGTATATATATATAGAGAGAGATACATCGTGTGTATGTATACAGTACATAAACAACCATATATACATATATTATATCACGAATGGTAGCCTCAGGCTATCTGAGTTCTCCTTGCTTTAGCAAACATGTATTACAATCAGGACTTGGTGCTGTGCCTAGAGTTTGGTCCTGTAAGAAGGGATTCTGTTTGATGGGGGAGGGGCCTCTCCCCCTCTGGATCATTCCCCCCACATCCATCCAGGGTTACTTGTGATTGCCTGCTACCTTTCGTTCACCTCCTCCTCTCTCAAGTTATATACACGTTTCGAGCAGGACCCATATTGCCAAGCCATCGAACGGTCCACCGTGTGTCTAGTCTAGTCCTCCCTCTCTCTCTCTCTCTTCCTTGCTTGAAGGCTGTGAGCTTTCTCAGATGTGGTAGCTACAACACAAAAGCTTTCATAGAACCGTATGCAATGGCTCACAAGAACATAAAGCTTTGGTACTTGGTAACATCATGGAACACATAAAACGGTCCAAATGCTTTTGCATGGAGCTCCGTCGGAGCTCTCCTGTTCGATGGGATTTTGGGGCCGGTGGGCTCCCCAAAGTGACAGGTTTCCTGTCGGTTGTCCCTTAAACCTGTTCTGAAATGTGTTCTCAATGGCTGTTTCTCTACCCTCCCTCAAACGTCGGAAGCTGAGCAGACCGCCTGGAGGTAAAGGATTTAATGGTCTGAAAAGGGGCCTTTGGTGAACATTGTAGGCAGTCTACATCCCCAAAACGGCTTGGTGAACTCACCACATGACTGTTTGCCAACATTTTGGAGTAACTCATCAAATGCTTCAGGAACATGGACTTTGCCTTGTTGAGTAGGATATGTGGCCCATGTTGGGGTGATTCTCCACGAAAGGCAGCCTTGAGATGTGAAGCAAACATATGATGCCGTGCCCGGTGTGCCGCCCCAAATAGCCTCTTCCACTAGAGAGACGACATAGATCAATAACATACTCCGGTAGGATCAAGATCACCTTACCTAATTACCTTTCGAATTAAACCGGCCACATGTTCAGGCTGAATCATTTGGATCAACATGTTTATCGTGAAATCGAACGTGCAAGCCAGCCTTTGAGTCAATATCTTAGATCCTATTTAAGAACCGCTTCGCCGAACAAAAAGAAGACCGCTTCGCCTTCGCGCTTTTCGGAGTGCCATGCATTTTCACGGTGAAATGGCATCCAATACATTTTAAGTGGGGATATACTTTTCTATCTATTTGGGAATCTATATACACTGTTTGACCTTACACTCAGCAGGGGTGTACTTATACTACCTCTTCTTTTTTTCTCCCTCTCGAGTTCTGGCAGGCAAGAGCTCTAGCAGGACCCAAGACCACGGGGTGAAAGCTAGATAGAGAACTCAAGTGGTCACCCTGGAGAGCTCGAGCTCAATCGTTCACCTGCAGGACCCACATGGCTGGTTTCGTCATGGCACCTCACCAGTCCCCATGGGAGCTCGGTTGACATTCCTCATGGCACCTGTGAGTCATGTTGCATGTGCGGTGGTCAAGCAGGATGCCCCTGTGTTGATCCACAGGGACATACCAAATCATACCAAAATATACCAAAAGACCACAACATGTTTAAAAGGCTGGGAGATGATAGAAGAGGTACTGCCGCTGTACCTCGATCTACTTCTATGACTGAGGAAGAAATACGCGTTGTTTTTGTTTTTCGGCGTAGAACTCTTTTAATCAACAGCCGTGAGCTCGATGGGAGGACATGAGTAGAGATGAGAGGTCCAAAGCAGGTTTTGAGCAGCGGTTGGCCCAGGTTGGTAGTAGAAGCGATTAGCGAGAGAAGAGAATCTTCAGGTGAGCACCGACCAAAGTCTTGGAATGAAAAGTTGCTTTTTGGGCGAAACGGGGTATGCACGACCTGGAGAACCAATAGCAAACCATGCCTTTATACCCAGCAGGAAGTAAACCCCTGTACACACGCAAACGCACCTGAGGGAGCAACATTCACATTGTTGACCACATAGAGAACCTATTCACATCATTAACTACTCAATTTTGCGATGGCAAGTGTGATAGGTACGATCTTTTGGCACAAGTTTTTCGCGCTGGCGTACTGCAATGACCCTGCGGTGGCGTTACTCCAACAATCAGGGTCCGTTGCGGTGGCGTTTGTGACCAGTCCGTCCGTCGGTGTGTTTCCTACAAATTCATCCCAAGCAGTGAACAGGTTCCAATGATTTAGAAAAGAGAACAACATAGGTCGCTTATATACCGGACTTTCTTGCTCCTCCTGTCCCCTTACTCAATTCTCCATTCTTTACCCACTCTTTCTGTCCTGTAAACTAAAGAGCCAACAAAAGCTGCCCCATTCCATGTTGCAATAATGGGCACACCCTGGCAAAGAGTTGACCTATGTATCCGACTGTTGGGTTTAATGTAAATGTCGAAAAAAAGGAAACCACATGAATCTGACTGTGGGTGAACACATGTCAAGCATCAACACTTTGCAGTTTATGGCAGTTTATGGTTAATTCATCTATCTATCCCCCCTGGATTTGAATTCATGTTTCTTCCCTTTTCCAGGCTGGTCCACTGTGGGGCGGGCGATCGGTCTGCCGGTCCGGCGACCTGGCGACCGAGCCGCCGGGCGACCGGGCGGAACCGCACGACCGGAGACCGCGACCCGGGCGGAAGAGACCAGACAGAGTCGACCGGAGGCGATCGAACAATGGTCGACCTAAAGAGGAGCTGAATTCCTGTTGGGTCACGGAAGAACTCCTGAAACCTCAAAGGTGCTGGGTTAAGGCTGACAAAAGGTCACAGGATGTCCTTGATTGAACAGCAGGTGTAGGGAATTTACTTTGAGATCAGCCATTCTTGATGTCATTACGATACCGGTCGTTGGCAACTACTGACCTTTGACAGAGCGAAACATGTTCTTGTGGACATAAAGTCCGAGCAGCGCTTGAAGCGGCCAGATTGAATGGCTTTTCTTGACTTGAAGCGGCCCAGCTGATAGATACAAACCCCCAAAACACGGACACCGACGTCAGCGAATTCCTTTTCAGGAGCCAGCATGTTCAGTTGTGGGTTGAAAAAGGACCCACACGGACCGCCTAACGTGGGTGAAACGTCGAACGGACGAAGGGACCTACGCCGCGGATCCGCCCCGGATCCGGTCCGTGATCATGGAGTCTGGTCCAAACTGGTGAAATAACCACAAAAGTTTAGAAGTGGTTCCAACAAACTAACCACGACATGTTTCCAAACTTGTAACATAACCACAAACTTGTAAAGTGACCCTTAGATATGCAACAAAATCAGAAGCGGATGAATGTGGTCTATCCGACTATCCATAGACTAGTTTGAGACAGTCCAGGGAGTGGGAGTTGGGATCCAGACGTATGCCGCGTCTCGTCCGCGTTCCGACCCAAAGGCGTTCGGAACGCGTGGTCTAAACGGACACAACTCGATGTGGGCGAGCTGTTTTTTTTGGTGTGTGGGAACCCCACCCTTGGGTACCCCACCTATGTGGAAGGACCTTAAGGGGCGATGACGGATCGATCGCGAGTTGGTTTGGGGTTTGTGGGAAAC